AATGCTTCATTTACTATGTTGTGACATCATGATTTTGATAATATTTCGATTAGTTGTTTAGCCCTACTGGAAATTCAGTTTAAAGCCTTTTGTAAACAAAATAACAAGATAGTGATTTTTTTTGTTTCTGGCTAATCCAGTTTATTAACTACTTGAAAAATCCAGAAGTCAAGGTACATCATCACACTGATGTTAAAATCTTCTGAATCAAACATATGGCTTGCCACAGTCTTCCTCATTCATTCTTTCAGCGCTGCCTCTCCTGGACCACAGAATCATCCCCAAAGGAATGCCACTGTCAAGTAGGCGGAGATGTCACACAGGGAGTCGATTATTTGCAACGCAGCTACATGTCTGAGCAGAGGAATGTTCTCTGTGGATTTGCATCAGAGAGAGCGTGGCTCTTGTCCCGGAGGCGCAGATTGAATCAGAACGCCTCTGACCTGTCTGAGGCTGATGGCAGGCAGTGAGCCATAACAGGGAGCATGGTGGAAGATTGAGTTTCAGCCAGCTCTTCCCAGCAGCTGTTGGAAGAAATATTTACTAAAACATTTGTCTGGGCCTGCTTGAGCACTGCTTGTGTTGTTGGCTGGGCTATTGCATTGATTTCAAGCAGGTAGAAGGGCTGTGCAATTAATGGAATTTCAATCTTGATTTTGGCTTCCAATGACTATAAAAACACGTTAATCGAGATAAAATGATAATTGCGGCACAAGCCATTTTGCAATGACATTTCAACTCAATCTCATCCAGGCCGTTTGTGATTGGCATGGTTTTTTATTCCAAATCGGGGGGGGGGGCAGCTTTCAGTGAGCACAACTCCAGGCCTGTTTGAGTCGCTAAAAAAATGTGAGCTGTGGGTCGTCATTGAGAGGACCTGAAGGCCACCATCACACCCAGCAGATGTTTGGTGTAAAGTTTTGATCTGAAATGTCCTCACCTCAGACCGACCATTTTTATGTCTGGAATCTGGACACTTTGGGAAGTAATGTTGATGAGAATGTTTTTTTTTTTTTTCATTATAATTTCCTTAGTTGATGTCTTCATATTACTAGTTTTATCCAAACATCTGTGGTGCTTTGTGATTGAGTTGACATGTGAGTATTAATAAGATTTTGCCTACTATAGCCATAAACTTATTGTATCTATAGAAAGTTAGGAGTATGTATGCTCTTACTCAGCAAGACCCTGCTCTGTGTTATTACATTCCCACACATCCATATTTGAGTCAAAACCACTGTCTCAGTTACTATACTTGTATTAGAAAGAGCTGAGGAGCTCTGGCTCTTATTAACAGAGGTAGAATTGGAAATGAAAAAATGTGACACTAACGTTCAGCATCACAAACACAAAGCATGTGCCGTCTCTGTCTTCTCCAGCTTGACCATACAAAGTCATGATCGGACACAGTGTACTCCTGTTACTCTAAATATTAGGCTCTCAGGTCTGTCATCACGACTACTCATAGGCCATAGTTTCTGCTTGACGATAGAGAGAGGTGTTCAAAAAGGAGCGTGAGTAGAGTAAGACTTTGTAAAAGGAAGCAAGACCTTGTGTGAGTTTGTAAACATCTTATCAGCTCAGCAGTTGTGTTTTTGTTCATCATATAGCATTCAGTTCAACGGTCATTAGACTTTGACTGGAAAGGCTGATCCTCAGATATTCACAGTGACTGCGAGCACAGAAGTGGCATGGCCTGACATGTGTAGTCAACTTATTTTCTCAACTGATATGGGGAACAGATAAAGTACAGTAGCTTCGACTGTGCGCCTCCATAGTTTGGACTAAAATAGAACATTAATGAGCAACAGCTGGCACAAGGTGGTTTCCACTTTAACTTTAGCTCTTTGCAAAAGATGTCTGGTAAACTGTCTTGTATTGGTGGAAATGTGGCCTCTTTGTGGAGGTGGTAGGTGGTTGGGTGACAGACCCAGACAGACTTTTGGTAGAAGAGAAATTCAAGGAAATTGTGCACTGACTGAGACGCTATTGTGATCCCTTTTTTTTTTCCTGCCATATAAACCACTCGGCCTTCTTTATCGTGTTGCCACAGTCTGGGAATGGATTAGGTCTCATCAGTCTGTCTGCCAGAAGTTGCTATCAGCTCTTATCAGCAGTGACGTTCACAGAGAGGAAGCAGCACTGACTTTTTATGTCCCACCATTTCTGTGACGTCTCCTCCTCCAACGGCCAGACAATAATTTTGCTATCACTGCTGAGTTGCTCTTTAGCACTGTTCTCTGTGCTTTGAAGCTGGAAAAGTAGCAAGACTCTTCATGAAAACCACTGTCTCCAATTTATTTCCCTGAGAGATATGGCCATAACAAATGAGCAGATGTAAATAAAAAGAGGAAGAATTTTCTGGGAGATGTCCTTAATATTTAATTCAGAGCAAATATTGAAGCAAGCCTGTTTTTCCAAATTTACCTTTCCTCAGGATCATTAGCAGAAATGCCACTGCCTCCCTCATGCCATTATGTGGCACACAGACATTGGAGACCCCGAATGCCTCCCAATCTGTCAGCTCTCTACAATTTGCAGCCCTGTGCTGAGCGCTAAACAAAGCTGGTCTTCAGGAATGCTGGGGAGGAGCCCTAATATGTAGAAAGTCTTTGCAGTTGGTGTTTGCTTGAATTTTATTAAGCATCTTGCTGGGTATGTTGCATGTTGAACTTTTGGTCGGTCCTGCCGCAAGTTCTTCTTTGAATTATACATTTAATTTAAAAGGATCGGCGTCTATTGATCAACAGAAAAGAATTCCTATCTGTAGCCCCAGGCCAGAAGTTAAAAGGCACCCTAAAATCAAAGAAGTCAAACTTTTTGTATCCCCCACTACTCTCCAAATCTTTAAGTGTGGCATTTTGTATCAGCCATGTTTTTCAGCTGCTGGCCACTGGCTTATTTAGTCGAACCTTCTGCATCTGCGGAATAGACCATCTGCTTCCTGTTTACATTGGTACATGCATGCACAGTGAGTGAATGGCCACTTCATCTGTGTTTTCAGTTGTTTAAATACAGACAGATCCATTCTGATACGCAAGTAAAATGCGTAGTAGTGTGGATGTAGCCTGAGCATCTACTGAAGAACAGTTAAGATAAAATCTCAGATTTTTTTCACAACACCTGATATCTTTTTTTTGTTTTTTTTTGTTAAACAAAACCCATAAGACAAAGGAATTATTCAGTTGTTTGAGGCAGACTCTCTGCAGAGTCCAATCATCTTCAATAAAAGGTGACGTCAAACTCCTGTAGCTTTGACTGGACTAGGCCTGTCCTAGTGGAGTAAAACGACTTTTTTCACATGTACCGTTGTATAGACGGGACAGGGCAACTTAAGCCTGTGCTGTTTTATGCTGCAAAAATTAGCCCAGTGGCTAGCTGCCTTTTCCTCTAACTGCATCTCTTGACAGAACACCACATTTGAATTTTAGCGTAACGTAATGAGTTGTTGTCAACTTGAATAACGTTCACTTCACTTGTCTCTCCTCAGCTCCGCTGCTGCTTTTAGTAGCCACACAGGTTAAACAAACTTTACAGCGGACGGTGTCTTGCCTGAGATTGGCGCTGATGAGGCGTAATTACCCAAGTTGAAATGAAAATTGTCAATCTTCATAAACCATAAGTTCAAATTAATTGAAATAATCGATTTATTGCTCTTCTCTAAGAGTTGATATAAATTGCACTTTTTTCCATTGGCTGAACTTAGCTTAATAATTTATTTTGGGACACAGCTGTAGACTTGGCTACAGTCAACACTGACTGATTTCCTATTTATATCTTATGGGGCAAATACACAGGAAGTTGGTCTGAGTTTCTAAGTTTGAAGATTGGGCAGACAGTCGAGGAAGCATGTCACTGGAGTTGTGGGGAATGGCAGAGGTTCAGGAGGAGGCATGAAATAGCCTGACCAAATATGGGAACGCACACGTGTGAACACACCTACCCCTTTTCTGTATTTTCTAGTGTGAGGTTGTGAACTTTATTCTGCACACAACTTGCTTAGTAAAAATGTTGACCCACCACCAAGGCTGTGTCCCAAGTTGCTGATGAACTAACCATCTTTAGCCTCTTTGGATATTTTAATCTTTGTTTAGTTGTTAGTGTGGTTGGTTGGTTAATGCTTAGCAGCTCAGCTCAGCTCAGTGAGAGGCATCATAGGACTGCCTAATGAACCACAGTTATTCCTCTCCAGTTTGCATTTTGTGGCGGCTTGAAATGTCTGACATCTTAGAATTAAAGCTGCATCTGCTGCTCTGTTCCAGTCATTACGAGTCAGCTGTTGGACTCATGATGAGTCACTCTGGATAGGTCTAAACACCTCAAGTGTAAATGAGACTATTCTTTTATCTAACTTTACGTAGGCCTTTAACAGAATGAAAGTTTCCAAACCGCAGTCAGAAATCAAGTATGTGGTATGGTGGAACTGTCAGCTGACGCCATCTGTGTGGGCACATCATTCCTCCATATTTGGAATTGGGATAAATGAGAATCGCTCCTCCCTTCTGCTGCTCTAACAATTCATCTCAGCGTGAGGATAGAGACTTCACAACACACGGCATGATATCGCAGAGGATATCTTTTAATCTAAATATATTCATCGCGGTGATCTCATTAAAATTAAAACTATTGTTTTAAGAGTCACCAGTCCATGAGATCCTTTCCAGTTTTTGTGTGTGTGTGTGGGGGGATTGCTGTGTTAATGGTACACTTAGTAATAGAGTAATTTCTGTAACTTTAATGTACATGAGCTAAATGTGTCCACTCTGCAGCTGTGTCACATTGGGAAATGTAAAGACAACAATCTTCTCTATGCACACATGTGTGATCAGAGGGCAACCATAACAAAACACATGTGACTGTTGCACACTCTTTGAGCTCAGACTTCTTTGTCACTAGTGACCGCTAAAACAGACACAGACAATGTAGGTCTATTTCTTTCATGTTGATGTCCCCCCTGGTTTCAGCTTCTAACACTGAGTTATTTATTTTTCTTGTTACAGATGGATCTGCGGTTACTTTTAATAGCAACGTTATCAGCGGTCCTCTGGGGCAGCTGGGCACAGCAAGGTAAGAACAAGGACATGTCAGAAATGCGTTTAGGTTTTGCTCTGTTTATCTTAGCTGTTAAATATTAGCTAGCCTAAAGCATAGCATGTTTTTCAGCTCTGTTAGCAGACACTCTAGTTCGCCATAGTCATCCTTATTCCTTGTTACTCTTCATGTTGATTATCGTGGTTTGTCAGTTGTCATGCTCTGTGCTTTGGGCCAAATATTGCCCTCTCTGGTTTTAGACTTCAAGTTCTCAAGCATAGTGCAATACAACAGTGCTTTTGTCCTCTTCAAATTGAGTATTTCTTCATTTATGGTTTAATGACCGTGTGAGTCCTGTTGGCTAGTGGTGCAAGGCTTTTTTTTCCCACTAGGTGAAGTCATCTCTTGGTGAACTGCCTAGAGCTTTTCTCAGCATGATGTAAGGGATTGTGATTAGCAGCCAAAAACTGAATCTGGTTTGAGTTAGTGAACTAATGGAAATTCTGTTTTGTCATCTTGGAACTTGTGTTGTCTCTTTCAGAGGGAAGCATATGCATCAAGGCAAACGCACAGTCCTGTGGGGAATGCATCCAGGTGGACGAGAAGTGTGGATGGTGCTCAGACGAAGTGAGTCGAATCATAAAAGTATTTTATCACATGAGTGAAAACTTATGTGATGTTATTAGACGGTCTTAAGCTGTGGGTGTGGCAAGTTCAGAGTCTTCTCTGGTTTGTGTGGCAGTGTTTCTTAATGGTTGAATTACACACAAACAGATACAAACAAAGCTGATAGACATCATCTTGTGAATTAAAACACGATTTCTAATAAATACAAAGAACACATTTTGAAAATTCCAACATTTCTGCGTATAACAGAAGGCAGCCCTAGTTAGATAGATTTAAATAGACAAATACTATCCTAAGATACTATGATTTAGATAACATTTGATTAGTGTTTTTTAATTTATTTTATTTATTCATTTGTTTGAATAATTTTAAAAGAGAGGCAGGGTTAAAACCAAATTACCTTTACTATTTATACAAATAGTAAAGGTGCACATAAACTTTACTTACCATATAAATACATGCACAAGCAAATGCAGAGTAGTACTAGTGTGTTAAGAGATTCAAGGGAGTTGCTCTTTGTTGCCTTTCGACCAAAGGCAAGTAAACCACAAACTGTTCCATTGATTGTAAACATGGGTGCTGCTACTTCTTGTTTTGGAAACACTGTGTAATCCTTTTTAATTAGATGTTTTCTGTACCCAAGGCAAATAACTCTTTCTGAAGACTACTGAGTGAGACCACAGTGCAGGGAAATACTGATTTACAGGATCTTGAGCTTAATATGAAACATTAGTTCACAGCTAGAGTAGAATTTTCAATGTGGAGGCTACAAAGTGCTGCTGTTTGGGAAGTATTTTTATTTCTACTTTAAATAAAATGTGTAGTGATGGCTTCAAACACAAATGAATCTGTGTGAGAAAGAACGTCACCCATAAACGAGGCTTTGTAATCTAGTGCAGGGGCATGGGGAGACGGACGATGGTTTCCTGAACACTAGGGCTGGGTTTCGTTCAAAGATTGTGTCTTTATTCCCCTGCAGCAAAGTTGCAGACATTAGCCCAAGGATCGGTACATGATGTCACCATCACACGGAAGCGCTTCCGCCGGCTGCACATACAGGTCCGTGTGTGGCAGTGGCGTCACTTACTGATCCTTCAGAAATACTTGAAAATGTAGCATGTGTGGAAGCTACCGCGCTACTCGGTCAGTAAAAGAGCTTTGATTTGATTCAGAAAACAGTGACACTACCATAAAGCTACTGAGAAATGTAGTTGCTAGTATCCACTAATGGCGCTACTTCTAGTGACGCTACTGCTCAACACTGCTCGTATGGTGGCCATGTTGAAGCAAGCTCTGTGGCAGTAGAGTGCTGAGACGATGACTGCTCTGTCTTCTTGCAGCAAAGACGGAGCAATTACTTTCTGCTCTTAAGTTTATTCCATGCACAGTCAAGGGCTTCACCAGGTTTGTAGTGTCGCCGCTCTTGGCAGCAATTATCTTACGTCGCAAATATTGCATCGCGCACTGTTGCATCAGGCCACACTTGATTTTCTCCATGTCTTTTACATCCACGAGCCACGTCTCTGTGC